AATCACATTAGGGAATATTAATAAGAATTCTCTGAGAAGAAAGTTCTGTGACCCCACGTTTTATCTCTTTAATAGATACACATGCATATTATACTACTGTCATAATGGCTTTCAAACTCTTGTTAGGATTTATTTTTATTTTATGTATATGGGTTTTACCTGCATGAATGTGTGTGCACCATATGCATGGCTAGTGCCCCCAGAGGCTAGAAGAGAGTTCCAGACAGTTATGAGCTGCTGTGTGGGTGCTGGGAACCAAACCCACGTCCTCAAAAAGAAGAGCAGTGCTCTTTCCTGCTGAGGCATCTCTCCAGCCCTGGCTCTCAAACTCTTCAAGTAGTAGAACCCTTATTTTAGATTCCTAATATGTGTTTTAAAAGCAGATAAAAGAGGAGCTGATTATGTTGAATGTGTCGAGGGACCTGAAGCTTTATTTATTTATTTATTTATTTATTTATTTATTTATTTATTTATTTATTCATTTATTTTTTAAAATGTTTGTTTATTATGTATACAGTGTTCTGTCTGCAAGTATGCTTGCAAACCAGAAGCGGTTAATAGATCTCATCAAGGAAGGTTGTGAGCCACCTTGTGGTTGCTGGGAATTGAACTCAGGACCTCAGGAAGAACAGCCAGTGCTTTTAACTTCTGAGCCATCTCTCCAGCACAGACCTGAAGCTTTTACAGACTGATTCTGATGCTTCTCTCATGTGTCAGCCAGTCCCAGGATTGGCCAGTCAGAACCTGTAGGAGAAGTCTCATTACTCACCTTAAAAAAAAAAGGGGGGGGGTGTCTCAGTATGTAGCCCTGGCTGGCCTGAATCTCATTATGGAGACCAGGTTGGCCTCAAACTCACAGAGATCTGCCTGCTTCTGAGTGTTGGGATTAAAGTGTGCACAACCACACTCAGTCTCATTTTTTTCCTTTCCTTTTCTTTCTTTTTTAATATTTTTTTGGCAAAACTCTGTTAGAGTCTAGTCAGGCTGTCTAGGTTTCTTATACTCCAGTAGTGGAAGCAATGTGTAGTTGCAACAAGACCCACAAAGCCTACACTTCTTACCTCTGCTCTTTCAAGCTCACTGAAATAGACCCTCTTAGACTTTCTACTGTCATTAGTTCATTCCAGTGAGAATCAAGGATGCCAAAATATTTAAAACCAGCAAATACTACCTTGGTTTATCTGTAATAATCCCAGAATTCAGGGGTGCTGTAACCCGGAACCTTGCAGGTGCTAACTAAGCACAGGTTCTACAGGTCTTCCCTTGAATACACCTATAGCCCTTGGTTACCATTTTTACTTCATTTTGTCATCTGCAGAGTCAAATTCAAGCAAGCTGTTAAAAGGTTGCAAAATTTGCAAACATGTTTCCAAGATTTCTTTTCTTTTCTTATTACTTAATGATTCAGTAGACATTCCCAAGAAAGGCTTTAGAACTCTAGGCTTTCCAGTGTTACATTGGGCTTCTTTTGCAACTAATGCATTGCATGTGGTGGTTTGCAGTGGCATCATTGGCCGTAGCAGTAAAGACTTCAAGAGATACTTGTTCAACTTCATCGCTGCCATGCCTCTTGTAAGTGCACTTCCTTTGAACTCTGATTTGGGAGAACTTTACACCTATTAAATCTTGAATTTGTACTTACTAACTTTAAAGATTTGTGGTATTAAATTCTAATTTTGTGTTAAAAATTGTAGTTTATGGATTAATATTTCAGTGTAAACCTACACTTAACTGAAAACTAAAAAATTTTGTTTGATTTGATCTTCTTTATGTTAGTGTGTGTGTAATAACATACACACACACACACACACATTGTTTTTCTTTCTTTTGTTTTCTGGTTGTTGTCTGTCTCTCTCTGTTTCTGTCTCTCTGTCTCTCTCTCTCTTTCTCTCTCTGCTTTTCTCTCCCTCCCTTCCTTTTTCTCTCTTTTCTTTTCAACGTTCTCCTGACTAGATTTTCTCAAGTGTTTAGCCACATTCTCCTAAGTGGCAATCACACCCCTCTCCCACTTGGGATAACTGAAAACATTTCCAGGTTGTGAAATTGGGAATAAGATGGGCAAACCGCCCAGGAACTATTGATTAAAACATAAACAGTTGCAACTTGAACCACTGTTAAATTGGAGTCTATTATCTGAATTTACTTAGCAATTAGTTTAGCCTAAAAACCAAATGATTTTCTTGCCTTGGTTTTTATTTTTATTTTCTTGGCCATATAAGACTTTTAATGTCCAGATTTAGGAGAACTTTGCTTGTGAAATCTAATTAATTTCTAGTTTAATACTTGAGGATGGACATACATAATTTTTAGATTTTTTTTTAAATTAAAAAATTAAGATAGCTAACAGGTATCAAAGGTTGGAAGTACTATGTGGGAGCATTTTTAATAAAATGAGTTTAAACGGAACTGGAAGGATTGATTTAATGGTGGGATAGATTAGTAAAGTGGCTCTAGAATAATCTGGAAAGTAGCATATAAAACTCACACTTTGAAAACAAAAACCTGCTGTCCAGGTTGTAGTATTGGTAGTGGAGCAGAGTGTAGAAATACAAGTTTCTGAACTTGTAAAGTCTCTATCAGGTAGAAATCGGAAAGCTTTGCATTTTTGATCACCCAGAAAGGATCTCATAATAATATATTAAAATTAAGCTCCAACTAAAAATCCAGATAGGATAATTAAGTGCATGTGGCTTAGCTTATTATTTTTGCATTTTATAAAAACCTAAACAAAACAGAACTGAAGTACAGTATGGCCTGTGGGTTATGAAAATCAGAACTTGTAGATGCAGAAACTGATAGAGAAGTAAATTGCAATTTAGTAAGTAGAGGTTGAAACAAAACCAGTAATGCTTGCTTGTTTGTTTTAGATCTCGTTGGTTAATAACTTCTTGAAGTATGGTTTAAATGAACTCAAACTGTGCTTCCGAGTGAGGCTCACTAGATACCTCTATGAGGAGTATCTCCAGTAAGTGAAGCCCTATTTTCAAATACTTAAGTTGGACAGTAATGTTTATGATACCAGATGTTTTTCTTGTTTACTGGGTTGTTTTTGAAGAAAATGTCTCTTAGACTAGGGGACGTGGGGAGGAGTGACCTGTCAGTGACGGGGCTCTAGTCCTAGCTCTCCTAATAGCCATCAGATCACCCTTCTCTGGGCTTGCTTCCCCACGGCTGACTAAGTTAGGACAATTCTCAGGGTGTCTAGACTGGTCTGTTTGTGTTTATGCAGTGGGTGGTATATGAATGCATGGTTTCTGTAATTGCTTGTTTTGAAAACACTTTTTGATTGCTATTTCAGAGCTTTCACCTATTATAAAATGGGCAACCTGGATAACAGAATAGCAAATCCAGACCAGCTGCTCACACAAGATGTAGAAAAATTTTGTAACAGTGTAGTTGACCTGTATTCAAATCTTAGTAAGGTAAGTTTTTACTTAAAAAATTTTGTTAAATTTGTTGAATTTAGAATCTGAGGGAATTCATATAGAATTGATTAGATGGGAGGGAATAGTGTATAAATAATTCTTTTAAAAGACAATTAGGATAATTATAATTGTTTTAATTATATAATTTAAAAATCTTATTTCTGTGAAGTATTTGACTTAGAATTGAAAGTAGTGTCTTACAAAAGTTTTATAAGAATTTTGTGTACTGATTTCAGCCATTGGGTCTTTTGCCTGTTTACCTCTAGCACTTGATATAGGTTGACTTTTCAGTTTATAATTTCAAAGTACACATCCGTAAAATGAGACAAGACTTCCTGTTTTCAGTATCATCCTATGTGAAAAGAGTAACTGTGTGTGTGTGTGTGTGTGTGTGTGTGTGTGTGTGTTTTGAATGTGTTAACGTGTCAGGTGCCATGCCATGCATGTGGAGGGTCAGAGGACAACTTTGGGTGTCATTTCTTACCTTCCACATGTATTGGAGATAGTATCTCTCTTGTGTTCACTGTTGGGTTTAAGCTGGCTAGCCCACAGGCTATTCTGGTGATTCTCCCATCTTAATTTCTCATCTCCAGAGGGGACATGCTGGGATTACAGATGCTTGTGCTGCCATGTTGTGGAGATCAGAACTTAGATGGTCAGGTTTTCATGGCAAACAGTGTATCCACCGACTCATTTTCCTAGCACCTCTCTCTTCAGTGTATAAATAGACCTATGGAGCTAATTTTGTAGAGAAACTATTACATATTCTTTCCTCTTGGCACTTGAGCAAATTTGTAGCTCATAAAGTGTCATACCCACAATAGAGAAGTGTTCTGAAATTAATTATAGTGTTTCTATACACTATAGTGCATTCTCTGTTTTAAACATGATTTAAATTATGAATATTATTTTTGGCCAGTAGCCTTTACATATATTTGAATTGAATTTTTAAAATATTTTTAAGCTCTTTATAATGGGCAAGACAGAGAAAGTGAAAGGTACATTTTTGTATGAGCCAATTCATAAAGCAAACCATTTGTATTAGTACTCAAGTATTAGACTTCAAATAAATGAACACAATTTGGGTTTCTTGAAAAGAGTTAAAATACATGCTAGTGTCAAAACCCTGGTTGAATTTGTTCTCAGTGAGTAGCAGTACTTTAATATGTAGAAACTTGAGTATTGGATCATCAGATAAGCTCCAGAGACTCACTTGATTATTTCATTTATGTAATTGTTATAATAAAGTAATAGACTCAAACAGTACTACAGAAGAAAGACCCTCTCATTTTACAGATGAAGTTGTATCAAAACCAGAAAAATGCATAGCAGATTTGGAATTATAACTCAAGTAGTTTTTTTAATGTTACTGTGTTACTAATGGGTAATTATCCTAGTAGAGCTATCTTAATGATGAAGAGAAGTATTTTTCCCACTTGATAGTCAGTAGTCATTGTTTGAGATACCTCCATTTCAAGAGCTCTAACTCTGTATATTCTAATGTTTATTTTACAGCCATTTTTAGATATAGTTTTGTATATTTTCAAGTTAACAAGTGCAATTGGAGCTCAGGTGAGTCCACTTTTATTCTTCTTTCATTTGTATTTGTATAGATACATTTGTGTGCACACATACACACACATGCACACATACACACACATGCACACATACACACACACACACACACACACACACATACACACACACAGATCACAGGAGAACTTATAGGAGTTTTATATTCTCTTTCCACCATGTAGGGTCCCAGGGATTGAGCTTAGCCTTGGCAAAAAGTGTCTTTACCCACTGAGCCATCTTGCTACCTGTGGCAGGGTCCTGTGCTGTTGTTCCCTTTGTGGGAGGGGGCCAAGTAGGCGCAGAGTCAACGACACAGACTCAGAGAGAATGTCAAAACAACAAGCTCAGTTTATTCAGTCAGAGGCAAGCCTTATATACCCTCCTTCCCACCTTGGGGGTAGGTCTGATGAATATGCATCTGCTGGTGTGACATGGCTGCCTCTCATTGGTCCAGGTCATCTCCAGATCATGTCTCAGCTGCTGTTGCTAAGGCCCTTAGGCAGACCCAGGTTGGCTCTCAGAAAGTATCTTTTTCACTGGTTTGGGCTGGCTGGCCCTCAAGCCTGTTAGTGATGAGTCATCCCACAGCTACACCTGTTCTACATTTTAAAATCTACAATACTATATTGTGATCATCATGAAGGTCTAAGAAAAAAAAAAATTAAGCTTGGGAACATCTTCACATTATACCTAATATGACCTGGTTGTAAAGTAATATTATACTGGAGGCTTTAAAAGTATTGTAATTTGGCTTTTTAATGTTTACTAAATTAGTTACTTAATTTTTTTTCTCACAATAGTAGCTAGAAATATTTAAGCACATATTACGTACATTGAACACATGTACTTATTGTTCCAAAGTAACATCTAAAGAGAGACTTGACAGAGTCTAAAAAGAATAAAATCATCAATATACTCAGAATGAATACTCATTTCAGAAGTGTTTTATAATATAAATATTGGCTAGTCCATGAGCCTTATCCTCTTGTCTCTGATATTTATGGTGACAAGAGTCTTTCTTTCTGAGTCTTATTGATGTCTAACTTGAATAATTATTTTATAGTGATTACATATTTATAGCAAATCATATAACAATGTGTTGGTTTTATGTACCTATATATATGTATCTTTACAACCATTTTGTGGTTGATTAATAACTTGCCTTGTTATTTTTATTGCTTCCCTGTTTGAATTTCCTGTTTTTCTCTTCACTACCCTGTGATTAAGGTTTAATCATTCTCTAGCTGACTGCACCATAAGAGTGAATGGACCTAATTTTTCTAGTTTCTATACTGTAATTTATATTTCTTGTACATATTAATATGTACAATTCTGCATCAACATTTTAAAAATACAGTTAGCACCTCTGCTCTTGTGCTGTTTTTATTGAAGTGTTTTGAATCATTCAAGTACAATTTTGAAAAATCTTGGTACATATGTTCATATACATTGTACTAGCCATGAAAGGTGAATCAGTTCCTGCCGAAGTTTAAACATTACAATGTCTAAAAAAAAGTAGTTATTCAGGCAATTATAATGAAGTGAGAATGTCCACTAATGGAAGTTTCAGGGAAGTATTTAGTGCCTGGAAGAATTGGAGCTGACATTTGACTGTTTTGAAGAGATACTTAGATCTCCATTAGTTATGTTAAACTTATGTAAAAACAGCTCCTCTGAATGGCATGTTCAGGAAAACAGTTTTGTTTGGGATAAATTTGATTTGAATATGAGAGATGTGTAGAAATTAAGGGTGGTTTGGGAACTGGTTGCATCTTCTAAGACTGTCAGTGTACAGTGAGGTCATTTACAGAGTTGTAAAGTATAGAAGACGAAAGCTTAGGTACAAGCAGGGAAAGGCTGATAGCTTGTTTAACAAAGTGTCCTTGAGGCACCTAGACACTGTTCAGAAGTGTGTATGGTAGAAGGGTGTAGGGCACGTACTTGGCAATAATATCTTGTACTCTAAAAATGATAGGCTTAGAAGTATAAATTTAGGATGAGACAGGAGTTAGGAAGGAACCTAGGGGAACATTAACATTCAAATAGAATGTGAAACAGAGCCTGAGAATTCTTGTGGACTGAGAGAACATTAAGATGGTTCCAGTGGAAGAGTGTTAGATGGCTGAGAAGGTAAGTTCCCGGAGAGGTTTTAGGTGAACAGATGTTGGGGAGAAGAGCTACAGGAGTTGGGTGGATGATAGTAACAGAAAGGTAGAGACTAGTGTTCTGTTTCCCAGAAAGAAAGGAAAATAAGCAGAGGCTCAGCTTTCTCAGGCTGTTACTTCGAACCATCACACATGCTTTTATTACCGTGTCCTTGAGCTCCGTGTGTCATTCTCTCGTTAACCATAGGGCCCAGCAAGCATGATGGCCTACTTGCTTGTTTCTGGGCTATTCCTAACTCGACTTAGAAGACCCATTGGCAAGATGACAATAACAGAGCAGAAGTATGAAGGAGAATATAGATATGTTAATTCTCGACTTATCACAAATAGGTAAGAGAAACATTCTAGAACTATAAAGAAAATTTCTTTTTGTGGATATTGATGTCATTTATATTGAAAGTCTAGCAATATAGTTACTGAAA